AGGTGTGTGTGTAGTAATTACACATATTTACTTGAATAAAAATGTACTTTTAGGAGCAGTTTTACTACATTGTACTGTTCCTTCAGTAATATTATGAAGTATCATTACTTGAGTAAAACTTCTGGCCATTCTGTGCACTTTAAATAACTTCACTGACTGAAGAGCAAACTTTGGACTTTACTTTTTCCTAATTTTTGGCTTCTCTGCCCACCTCTGCTGAAAATGTACATACAAATATGCAGAAACTATCTGCGGACGCTTGCATGCCATTCAAGTTGTGTTTTCTGATATTGCAGTATGCGGCTCAGTCTGAGGATCCTCCACACGTTGTAGCCCAGTTCCATGAGTGGCTGGCAGGTCTGGGCCTGGTGTTGTGCAGACAAAGACAGCTTCCTGTTGCAACTATTTTCACCACCCATGCTACGCTGCTGGGTCGCTACCTGTGTGCCGGAAATGTGGACTTCTACAACAACCTGGCAGAGGTACATCTTTGCTACTTTTTCTATTCCAACATTTGATAAGGAAAGAAATGTCTCACAATAGATATATATATATTTTTTTAACATAGAAGAGACAGGAAAATAAAAGGCCAATTGTTTGTGATGCTGATTTTAAGAGTCTGCAAAAGCGGTTTACACGATGTTCTTCCTCCCTTCTGCTCCGATCAGTTCAATGTGGATAAAGAAGCCGGAGATCGGCAAATTTACCATCGCTACTGTCTGGAGCGGGCGGCTGCACACTGCGCTCACGTCTTCACCACTGTGTCACAAATTACAGCCATCGAGGCCGAGTTCCTGCTCAAGAGGAAACCCGGTATGTCGAGTTGGACTCGGCTGTCAGGAAAAGAAAAATTAACACCTCACTGATTATGGATGAAATGTGCTTATGGTTCTTCACGTTTGTCCTCAGACATCGTCACTCCTAATGGCCTCAATGTGAAGAAGTTCTCTGCTATGCATGAGTTTCAAAACCTCCATGCTCAGAGCAAGAATCGCATTCAGGAGTTTGTCAGGGGTCACTTCTATGGGTCAGTCCTGACAACATGACACCGCAGGACAGTGGACAGTCTGAACACTGCAAAAACACTAAATCTAACCAAGTATTGGTCTAGTTTTTAGTGCAAATATCCCAGTCCATTTGAAATAAAACAAAACTAATTTGCAAGTAACTTTTTAGTAAGATCTCGGAGCTTGTTTTAAGTAACTAATTCCTTAATATTGAGGAAATGGTACTAGTTCAAATGGCAGATTATTTCACTTGTAACATGGAGAATGTCTTGTTATAAGTGAAATAATAAGGTTGATGAAAAGTTACTTGCGAGTTAGTTTTGTCTTATTTCAAATGGACTAGGCTATTTGCACTAAAAACTCGTTTTGCAGTGAATTCGTTCAGTCTGTTACTGCCGAGTTAAAGATTTTGAAAGCTAAAAATTGGAAAATAATCTCTCAGTTTGTGTTTACCATCAGGAACCTTGACTTCAACCTGGACAAGTGTCTGTTCCTCTTCATAGCAGGAAGGTATGAGTTCTCCAACAAAGGAGCCGACATCTTCCTCGAGGCTTTAGCCAGACTCAACTATCTACTGAGAGTAAGTGAAGTGGTTTTGCTGAACGTGATGAACCTCGGGTGTGAAGAACTGAACCATACATACTCCATGCTCTTCCTCAGGTTAACCACAGCGATGTGACCGTTATAGCTTTCTTCATCATGCCAGCTCGGACCAACAACTTCAACGTGGAGACGCTGAAGGGCCAAGCAGTGCGGAAGCAGCTATGGTGATTATAAATGTTTAATATCTGCCTTTCCTACTTCCATTTATGTGACTAAAGATATTTCCGTTTCTGTCTCTCCTCGCAGGGACACAGCCCAGACTGTGAAGGAGCGCTTTGGAAAGAAGCTTTATGAATCACTCCTAGTGTAAGTTCACCACGTTTAAGGCACCACCATGCTCAGCGACTGAACGCACTTTTCATTAAAAAAACACAAAGTATATAAATAACTCATCTATTTTATTAGATCCAGCTTCAGAGAATCTTGGAGAAATTATTATATTCCATTTTTTTTAACATTACAACCACAAATCTCTGGCTCTTAGAAAATTGGTGTCAAGACAAAAGCCTTAAGATCTCACAGCAGACACGTGGAAGAACATGCTCCTGTCAGATCGGACCAAAACTGAAAACAGTTTTGTTCCCACGTGTTTTTCAGTGGTCAGCTGCCAGATGTGTCGAAGATGCTGGACAAAGAAGACTTCACCATCATGAAGCGTGCCATCTTTGCAACTCAGAGGCAGTGCCAGCCTCCAGTCTGCACCCACAACATGCTGGAGGACAGCAGCGACCCCATCCTTAACTGTGTCCGCCGCATCGGCCTTTTCAACAGCTCTGCTGACCGAGTCAAGGTAAGAGACAAAACGGGAGACTCGCCCTATGAATCAGTTGTGCACTATACTTCATTTATTGGATATACATTAAAACATTTATATGGCAAAGCACTGCTTAACATAAATTACCTGGAGGGAGCGAGCTCCACATGAAGACACAGATTACCTTTTGGTTCTTGGACAAATTAGGCGTCTGTTCACTGTTCCAGGTTGTTTTATAATAGTTTTTCTGAAAATAACCGTCGTATCTGAGAAATCAGAAACGGGCCACGATTGGCCACCAGACATTGCAGCTGCTCCATTTCTCCCTTACACACCAACTGCCCAGAAAAGGCAGGATCACCATGACAACCATGGACATTGTTTTTAAAGTGTGTCCCCCCCAAGAGGACAAAGTTAAAACTACAGTAAAGCTCACTGATACTCTTCACAATGACATGTTCATGTTGGTGAGTGTGATGGGGTGAAAGTGGCTGTAGTGAAAAAGGTGTTGAGTCGTCTGTATTAATAGTGATAGTCGGTCCACTTATAAGTCCTAGCAGACTTTAAACCCAGCAGTTGGGCATGTTTGGTGGAGAAAAGCATGGTTGCGTTTTTCTTATGTGTTTTTTTACACACAAGAAATTTCGTGTGAAAAACAACATAAATTGTTGTGAGGGCTTGATAATTATGATCAAGCTCTCACTGTGTAACTTTTTAGGTGCCTTGCGTTGTAAACTAGGACTAGTTTTCTTCTTAGGTTGCTGTGAGAAAGGCTGCAGTCACTTGTTCTGGTACTGAAAAGCTTGTCCTCCCTCCTCAGATCATCTTCCACCCAGAGTTCCTTTCGTCCACATCTCCTCTGCTTCCCATGGATTACGAGGAGTTTGTCAGAGGCTGCCACCTTGGTGTCTTCCCTTCTTACTATGAGCCTTGGGGTTATACTCCGGGTATGACACATGGATGCTGATATCTTGGATATGTTTACTGTGTTATATTTGACTCACTTTGTAATACTTCTGTCATTTGACAGCTGAGTGCACAGTGATGGGTATTCCATCCATATCCACTAATCTGTCAGGCTTCGGGTGTTTCATGGAGGAACACATAGCAGACCCTACAGCGTATGGTGTGTGTCTTTACTCACTTTCTTTAGTTTCTCAAAAGTTATCGACACATTGATTAGAAAGATCACATTTCTCATTATTACCCAACAGGTATTTATATCCTTGACCGGCGCTACAAGGGTGTTGACGAGTCATGCAACCAGCTCACTTCCTTCCTTTTCCAGTTCTGCAAACAGAGCCGACGCCAGCGGATCATCCAGAGGAATCGCACAGAGCGCCTGAGTGACCTCCTGGACTGGAGATACCTCGGCAGAGTATGGACACAAATCCTGAATGTAATCTTTCAGCCGCTAACTTTAAAGTGACATTTTTGCCCTTCTCTTTCGCTTTAGTATTATATAGCTGCTCGTCATATGGCCTTGGCGAAAGCCTTCCCAGACACCTACATATATGACCCTCAAGAGCCCTCCTCGGTAAGATTATGTGACATTTTGACTGAAGAATTGTTAAAAACACTTCAAGGCCTTCTGTTAAAATGCCAGGATTTTATGATGTAAAAAAAAAAAAAAAAGACTCCAAAATAAATAGAAAGTAGTTTATAACCCTTTTTCAAATGAGTTATACATGGGTCATGTTTAAAGGTGGAAAAGTTCTGAAAATGATTATTTTAGTCCTGTTTTTAAAAGTGATCCTGCTTCATTCCTTAGGCTTCAGGTTTCCGCTACCCCCGACCAGCCTCTGTGCCTCCGTCTCCGGCTCTGTCCCGTCACTCCTCCCCGCACCACAGCGAGGCCGAAGACAACGACGAGGACGAGCGTTACGACGAGGAGCTTGAGGCCGAAAAGGACCGCGTGAACATCCGCCAGCCCTATACCATACCGGTTAAAGGCAAAGCCGTCCTCGGAGGCAACGGGAGCGGCGAGGACGAGGCGAGCGAGAAAAACTGAGACGCACGCACACTCGTATTCATTATAATCCATGCTGAACCTCACTAGTGAAACTTTTTTTGTTTCTGTTGCAATCATTAGTCATCCTTGCACTACAAACTTGACAAATGGGTGCAGCTGTGTTCATGTGTGTGATTACTTTAGTCGTGGCTTTCTGTGAAAAAAGAAAACGCATCACTTGTCTGTGTCTTCCCAACCAATGCGTACCTCAGAACCTTAAAACTGTCAGCCAGTTTTTGGTATCGTTTCAAACACACCAGCACTGCAACCAGTAGTAGGCCGAAAACATAGAAACAGGAACCAGTGAATTAAAATGACCCTGTTTTGTGAATAATTTAGATATAAAGCATTAATAAAGTAACAGAGGGGCTTTATTCTAGATTTTAGGATCAAAATGAGGAGAAACAGCATGGCATAAGCCTCCATCTTTTTACAAGCTTGTCATTTTTCTTCATTCAAAGCAAAACTTGCTTCTTCTTTTTTTACAGCTTTTTTGCAAATGCCTTTTTACAGCAAAATGTCCCAGATTGGAAAAAGATGGAGCGCATACATGCCCAGTAACAAGTAACAGTAGATATAAGAATACAAAACCTCTCCTTGAGCTTAGCATCATGTTTTTTCCATCTTTTTTTTTTTTTTTGCCTTATTGTATCAGTTTTCTAATAATTAGGGATACTGATCAGCCACATGTCACATCCATTTACCTGACAACATATGCACTTGTGTGGAGGTAGCTTATCTTGTTCAACAAAAGAGGAAAGAAGGGAAGAAGAATTGCGCTCTGTGTGGGAAGCAAAATGAATGTCGGATGTTGGTTTTACCAGATGTGTCCCGTCACTGTCTCTCCTCAGTATGAGTTATATTGTTTGCTCCAGTAAAATAAAATTGAAAGCTCTATATGTTAGTATTTTACACATGATTTCTGTCTTTTGTTTTATTCCGAGCATTCGGTTCAATGAGACACGTTGAAAGGTCGGCAAGTTTACGAAGCCAAGCAACGCACTAATGTAGAGATCCAACCATACATGCAGCGTATCCATCCTGAGCTCTTTAATTTATCTGGACTTTGGTCGGGGATCTTCCTCCTACATTGCAGGTAATCCTCCCTGGGTCAGCACAAGTAAACTCTGCCGCCGTGACCTCTGCAAACTGAGAAGAACAAAAAGTTGGACTTGTTTTTATAAGAGAAACATTTCAAACTTAATTGAAGCCTGAAGAACATGGAGCGGTTTCATGTATTTTTTACTGTTCCTTGCAAAACTACTCATTTCCCTGGAACTAGGACTGCAACTAACAATTATTTTTTGTTATTGATTAATTTATCAATTATTCTGACGATTAGATTGGTACATTCAACAGATTTTCTAATTTAACCACTTAAGTCTTTTGTATGCAATATTTGAAATGCAGTAAAAGGTGCAAATAAACCATTTCATTTTGTTTTAAAATGAGAAACTAAACTAAAGTGCAATAAAATGACATTCCTTTAGTGAATTTCTACCAGGTGAATAGAAAAAAATGCCACTTAAGGAATTTTGGGACAAAATATATAGATTGGTGTTTTTATCCTACATGTTTATTTTCAGCATTTGACCTCTTTTTGAGTCTGTTGACTCCAGTTAATGATTAATCGATTACTAAATTAGTTGATTATTTCAATAATAGATTCATTATTATTAATCCATTTAATCATTTTATACATACGTGGAACATTATAGCATTTTCTTGCATTGATAATTTTATGTGATAGAGCACAAACTAGAGCACAACTGTAAGGCTGATGGAAAATGATGCATCATTTTCAAAAAGTATCTCAACTAGAAATCTGAAAAGTGTGGCTATCATTCGAATCCACCCGCCTCTATTCTGATGCCTACAAATACCATAGACTGCAACAAATTGACCTCAGAAGTTACCTGATTAATAAAAACAGACATTAGTTGTAAAGACATTGAAAACCATCCATCATGTTCCCTCCATGTCGAAACGATGAGCTACTTTGTGTTAGTCTATCACATGAAATATAAAACTGAGTGAAACCACATGGGACTCACTGAGTAAGCTGTTCCAGAAGGAGTTGTATGTTGCGCTGCCGGTCACGGCGCCGAGTTTGGCTGGATTCCTCCTCACTGTGTGCACTGAGAACCCATCAGGCCCCGTCGCCTCCACCTCCACCACATGAAAGTCTTTCAGCCTGAGGTGAGCAAGACATAAAGCCCAATTGTTCAGACAGAAATGATCAGCCGTGCTGGTTTTGATTTGTAAGGTAGAAAGACCCACGCTGTGTCTGACACGATCTCTCCCTGAACACCTGTAAAGCCGAGCTTTCCTGCCGCCACGGCTGCTGCCGCCATGGTGTTGACGTTGTTGGGAGCAAGAGGACACAGGTCTGCCACTGAGCCTCTGAACAAAACCCGCCTGCCCTCTCCTTCTGTCCAGTCACTGAGGACGTCTCCTGTCAGTCGAAAGCACGACGGATGCTTGGACATTCTTATGAACAAAGCCTGAAGAGATTCCATAGATTTCTCAGAAACATTTCTAGTTGGGGTGGAGGGAAAACAGAAACTAATATTGCTAATATTCTTATATAAGTCTTACAAAAACACAGTTAACTCCATATGGTTTGAGTTTTGTTAAGCATAACAGAACTGAGCACAGTTAAGACATTAAAATAAGCAGCTTACTTTGGCAGTTTATTAAATCTTAACATTGCAGGCGTAGACATACCTTCAATGTCCCACTATCGTTCATTCTTTGGATGTCCTGGCCTCCCCATAATGCACCACTGGGGACATAAAGCGTCCTGCCATGTTGTAGAGATGCCTGCCGCAGTTTCTGGTTCAGATCAGGATCAGAAAGGGAAGACGGAGAGCCCACCTAAAAGGTTTAACATGTTGTGAAGTTTATTGTATATTAATACAGAGTTTATAGTCAAGTGGAAAGATTATGCATTTTCCTCTTGCTTACAAAAACTGAGCCCTATTATATTTTTCAATTGGCTAATCATCCATCTTAACATTGTTTTAAAACTGCAGTTGGCAAGGTATAAATAAGCAGCTAACAAACATCCTTGTAGTCAAGATTTGTTTCTTTGTAATCTTTTAATTAGAAAAGCAATACACAACTCCAGACACCACCAGCAAGTTATATGTAAGCTAAGTTTGTATTTTATTTATTAATGAAAATAATCTCACCATGAAGTGAGCCTCAGAGAGAAATTTGAGTCCAAAATCTCTCACAATCTGTGGATGACACACCTCTACAATCACATCACAGCGCCTGTAAAACCACCAGCAAAACAACTGTAACAAACATTTCTAATATAATCAAGATTGTGCTTTGTGAAAGTATTCGTACACCTTGAGCTTATTCACATTTTGACACGCTACAACCACAAACGTAAATAAATTTTGGGGGGATTTCATATCATAGATTAATTGGTTTTAAAACATTTCACAAATACAAGTCTAAAAGGTATGGTGTGTGTGTTCACACAAAACTTTGAGGTAGTAAATTGGTTCTTCTTTCATATGTCTCAACCAACTTCATACATTTGATATTTTTGTAATTCTTCGTAGCAAAATACTTCAAGTTCCATCAAACTGAATGAAACCAATAATCTGTTGAGATAAATTTTCAGAAACTGCTACAGTTTCTCAGTCAGAATGGGGTCTGAAGTTTGACTCAGTCGTTCACAGGAATATGAATCCATCTAAACCAGTCCTTTACATCAAGTTTTCTCCCTGGACTACCCTGTCTTTAGCACCATCCATCTTCCCATTAACTCTGACTTGCATCCCCACAGCATAATCCTGCCACCATCATGTTTCACTTGGTGGATATTGATGTGGTAAGGGTGTTGTGTGTTTTGTTTTGCATGTAGGTCAAATAGTCCAACAATAATCTGATCTAACTACAGCACCTTCTTCCACATATCTCACTGTGTCTTCTACTGTTGCAACTGCAACTTTTGAGGAATTGAAGCACATCAGAAACGCTGATGCAATATTAGCAAAGAATAGCTTCATTAATCTAAAATATACATGTTTATTGGCGGAAAAAAAACGTAATAATCATAGTATTCATGAATTTACTTGTCAGCGGAAGCAATGTGTGAATCTGACAGTAAACAATTCTTATCAATTAAATACTGATATTAATATAAATGTAAGAACATTTTCAGTATATGGATAAAACGTCGCTAGTTTTGACTAAGGCGAACTTCCTGTTTGAGTTGTGATGCTTTTATCTTGAAGGACCCACTTCCGGTTTAACTGTTAGCGCAAAGATAGCTTAACGGCAATTAAAAGACAGAAGATAAGTTTTAACAATGCATCCTATTATTAGCAGCCCCATTGATTGAGGCACAAGGTATGTTTCGATGTAAATAAGTGCGTGTTTTAAATATTGTGTGACTTATATTGTACTTTTTAAGTCAAGATGAATTAGTGGTATTTTAATACAAGTCTATAAAAAAGACCAAATCAAATAAATAAGAAAACGGAATCACTGACAAAACATACTGGTTTCTTACGGGTGTGAACAGATAAGGCTCCAGGATTAACTAAGCCTGGTTGTTAGCTTGGTCTATATCAGGCGCTGCATAGGATAAATCACTATGGTAACTCGTGTGCCACTGCTTTTGTAAAACCGAATCGAGGCTAGCCAGGACTTTCGGAAAATCCCGGCTTAATCCGCTATCCTGGTTTTGTAAAACAACCCTCTGCTGTTTTTCCCTTTTTTTTCCCAACCCTTTTTTTTTTTTTTTTCACTTGGTGACAGTGCGCATGCGTGCATTTAAACCTCTTTGCGAAGGACGACAGGTCTTCTAGTATCAGCTCAGCAGGGACTGAACCCACGAGCTTGTTGGGATTCCGGTTCCAGACAAAGCCCAGAACCAAACCAAGACCAGCTCCAGCTTCAAGGAGTTTGTCCACCAGGAACTTCCCTAAACCACATACACATCCAACCACATGCCGTCAGACAAACAATAGTAAGTCCTCCAAAGAGTGTGACTATGGGCTTCATACCTAGGTGTCCATATCCTACAACTCCAACTCTCAGAGTGGAAGAATTAGTGTCCATAATCTGCGCAGATGACAGAAGAATAACAAAAATCCAAACTGTAACAACAATTATATATGCTCACATCCGTTTTAACCTGAAGCTCTAACATCATTGCTGTTTTCTGGTCTCCTTTACCTGATTACTTTACGCCTCTCCACAGCTATGTCTCCTCTGAAAAGCAATGTCCAGCCACAACTCAAAACAAGGAATCATGGGAAAACTAAGGACAAAGTTTGACTCTGAGCAGCTGCAGTTAATCATTGTTTGCCTTGGACAGTATTAGACAGAGTGCTCTTCCTATACGTTCTTGGATTTCAGTTTCAGATCCATAATCCAGGTTACAGTGACAATAAAAACTGCAGTGAAGACAGAAGGTTACTGAATTTCTTAGAATAGGAGGGGCATTAGAGGTCATGGACTTCTGTCACCCTTTGCATCATTTGTCGCAAACGGATTCTGAAGCAAAAAGCCAGATTTCTAAATGACATCAATGATCTCTCTTCAGTTTTATTAAACTTTTTGACCATACTGCACATATAGATTCTCGGCTATAACGCGCAGTTTGACTTTGCCCCCTATTTGCTCATGTCATCAAAATATTACCGCCGGAAAGGTGAAAGGTCAGCTGTTTGTCCATGAAAACTTGAAACGAGGAGAACATTGATTATCAGAGAGCAATCGGACCAGAAGGACCGGTCTAAAGTTCATGTTCGTGGAAGTCCAGCGGACTGAGAGGAACGGCGCAGATTCAAGGCGAGGGACACAGGGAACATCTGAGGACTGCATGCTGGTGACATTTAATGCAGATTATTGTTCATTAGTGAAGGAAAAGACAAAACTCAGCTAACAGGGTGAAAATGGACATCCTTGAGACTGATGCCTATGACAAGCGCCGAAGGAGAAACATGGTATTCTTTTACCCCGATTTTTTATTATTTTTTTTTTTTGTAATTTAATACTTCTGTTAAAAAAAAAAACTTAATTAAGCTGACTAAAGTGCAATACGTAAGAAAAATGTGACAAATATTGCTGTTATTTGTCTGTCTTTTCCAGTCTTGTGCCCTTCTTCTCTCCCTTTTGCCCTTCTTTTTGTCCTCGGCTTTATACTTCTACCTTTGGACTCCTGATCTGGTCCCATCAGTAGTGTCCGCAGGTGTCAAAGCGGCCCCGACTCTGCTGCTGGCCACGGTGGTCCTGAGCTGGAACGGAGGGCAGAGTGTCCTGGGTGTGGCAGGAGGGCTGATCTTCTCTGCTGTTGGGGACTGCTGCTTGGTGTGGCCTGAGCTTTTTATCCACGGTAAGGGTCTTCAAGTTAAATCTAAGTTAGCAGCACATTTCCCTCAATTGTTAAAGATAAATTTTCTTTAACCACGAGCAGATTGCTTTTGTTTCTAATGTTGAAAATCCACCGTCTGTCTCAGGAATGGGTGCCTTCGCTGTGGCTCATCTGCTCTACTCCGTCACCTTCCTGTCCAGTCGTTATGCAACGTACTCCTCCTCCTCCTCCTCCTCCTCATCTTTGAACCGCTTTCTGCATCTGGTCCTCGTAATCGTGGGAGGAGCTTTCTACATCTACCTTTTTCCGTTCCTGCAGAAGGCACCAAACTCTGACCTACTGACTCCTGGCGTAGGGATCTACTTCGTCCTAATCACCATGATGGCTGCATTAGCCATCCGGACGGGCCACGTAGCTACGTTATCGGGGAGTTTGATCTTCATGGTGTCTGATGCTTCCCTGGCTCTGCAGGTCTTCAAAGTTTTGCCACCAATCGAGCATGGTCATATTGTTGTCATGGTGACTTATTATTTGGCGCAGCTGCTGATTGCTGTGGGTGATATAAAAGCAGCGGAGGACAAGGATGACTTTTCAAAGTGGAAGCGGTCCTAAACCGGATCTCTGAGCTGCTCCTAACATCAGAAGAGCGTCTTCGATTGACCAAAGACATGCAAATATGGTGTAGTTTGTTAATCAAATCAACTTAGTGCAAAATAAGCTTGGGACAAGACAGGAGCAATAGGTTTTTAGATTTCAGTGCTGACATTCACATTTATGTTTAAAGCGACTGAGGATGGAAGAGTGGCGCATTTCTGGTGGTTTGATCAAATATTCACACTCCTTGAATGTCTTTGTATTCCATTAAATTAAAATCACAAACTTCAATGTATTTTGTTTGGATTCAGTGGAAATGTTTGCCCATTCATCATTGCAAAATAATTCAAATTTTAACTGGATTTACTTTTGCAACTTTGACTAGGCCATTCTAATGCGTGGACATGCTTTCATCCAAACCTCTCCACTGAAGTTCTAGCTGTTGTGTTATTCTTTAATTTACCCCTACATAATATCCAGTTTCTCCACAGTATGATGCTTTCGGTGTGAGAGTATAGTGTTAGTTTCACAACGCTCACTGCATTTTAGAGCTAAGGCAAACAGTAATTTTTGGTTCCTATTTTTATTTGTGTAAAAAAAAAAGTTAAAAACTGCATATTTTTTCTTCTCTTTCAGACGTTAAGGTGAAAAACGTTGAGGTTTGTGGCTGAATGGTGACAAATGTGGAACAGTTAAGAGGGTTGAATACTTTTGTAAGCCACTGTACACTCTGGGATTTATGGGAATATATTTTTACATGAAATTCATGTTAATGTATAGCTTGTACATGTGATGCCATAATACAAACTGCCCATTGAATGTGCATGAACAGCAGTATTTTATTTACAATAAATATTTCCAATGTCCACAACTGCGAGAATTCTATATAAAAAGTCTGATTAAAAATAATTCTTAACTCCTAACTTTAAATCAATAAAATGTTTGTGCTGAAAAAAAATCACCTTTGTACATACACCAAAAATATTAAAATACTTATTATGGGCAGGTTTTTGTGTTACATAAAAGAAGAACTAACACAGAGAGGTGAAAGTGAAGAGTTGAACAGGAGCTTTATACAGAACAACTATTTACACGGTAAAAATCCAACATGTACATGCAAAACATCAACATCAGCTGTCGTAACAGACAAAAAAAATGTTGCTCCACATCCACGATTCGGCTCATGAATGTCCTGTGATGTTTTACTTTTCATACAGAAGCAAAAACAGGCAAGGTTTAAAAATATAAATTGCCTCAGCGATCCATCCCAACATCATCTGTCTGCTGCCCGTTGAAGCACAAAACTCTCAAACGCTCACAGAAGTCAAGCTCCTCCTGTTGGTGCAAGATACAGGAAGACTTTAAATGACAAAGTTTTAAAAGTAATCTGAGACTTTGAAATGTGAAGTTTTTTTTAATTCTATAATGTATGACTTTGAGTTTGGTTTCATCGAACCAAAGAAACATCTTCTATACATTTGTTCAATTTCCGTACATGATTTGTGGCAACTTCTTATAGCTTTCTTCTTCTTAAGAGCAATATTTGTAGCGTGCATAACTAATAGTCACCCAGACAACAGAATCTGGATTTAAATGCAAAATCTGAAAACTATCTTCCTTCAACTGTACAATTATGCATTCATCACATAAATCACAATAAAATATACTGAAGTTTCTGGTATGTGACAAAATGGGGAAAAGTGGGATAAGAAGTTTTTATTTACCTGACTTTCTTCTTTTCCTTGGAGCTCTTTGGTTCGCTGCTTGAGGAATTCCTCCAAACCCAAAGCCGGGTTCCTGCAGTCTTCCAGGCCTTGTTGAAAGCCCTCAACCAAACTAGACAAGCAGCAATCAAGGTCGGACATCAGTACCTAATATTCACTTTAACATTATTCATTTACATAGCCCTGCTGGGGAGCAAACTGCTTCCGTCTGCTGCTGACAATGAGCATTAAGTCAAAGTGTTTCTTACCAGCAGAGGGCACCAAGCACGTGCTCGTGGAAAGGCGAATGCGGTGAGCGGAGAACAGAAACTAGCTGCTGCACCATCCCCATCGACACAACCGTTTCTGTTAGAGGCCAAGTTAAAGAGCATTAACACACTCGATGAATCAGCGTTAAACTTGAAAATAAAATGAATAATCCCACGACTATAGAAGTAAAATATGTGGAATATTTGGTTCATTTAACTATGAAATGGAAAAAGACAGAGAAAAACGTATTTAAAAAATAAATACTTAGTGTTGTGCCTAACATTTTCCATTTTATGAAAATCAGAAAAATGTTGGTGTAATATTTTAGGGTCTTTTTTAAAAAACCACAAATGGCAGTTTAAATGATTTCATAATGTATCATAGCCCAGGAAATGTTAAATAATTCAATCAATACAGTAGACAATACATATGATTTTAAAATATAATCACTTTGGATTTAAGTTATATTTAATTATTTGTTTTTGTATTTCTTAAATTACTGATACATTTGTAGAAATATTGACAGATTTTTTTTTTAATTACTGTACTTATTATATATATTTAAATATTTATCAGAGAAATTACAACAAATTAATTCCCAAAACTGTAACAGAAACCATTAAATGACAACATCAGCATTAGTGTGGCGTGTCTCTCCTTCACACCTTTGTGTTCCGGGTTAGAGGTCAGCAGGTTGAGCAGAAGGAAAGCAGACTTGGTCCGGACTTTCTCGTTTTCAGACTGCATACTCCTCATCAGCACCGAGAAACCATCGTGAGAGACGAACGCCTGCAGTCCGGCTTCCTGCTCTCGGACCAAACCTACAGAGGAGACAGAAAACAGATCAGTAAACAGAGCTCCGCATCTCCTGGGTACCATTACCTCCAGAGATGGCTCATAGATGTGGCATCAGGGTCTAAAGCCTCAGGGACTCACATGAGACGGCGTACAGGGCTTTCACCCTGACGGTGGGATTGGGGTCTGAATCCGTCAGCTGCAGCAGCTTTGGCAGCACGTCAGCTTTAAGCAGGTATTCCTGGACCTGGGGCATATTCTGAGCACAGGAGGCGAGGAGCTGGGCGGCCCGCCACCTCAGACCGCTCTGGACGTGACAAAGATACCTGGAGACACACAGCTCCAGGCCACCAAGGGTCATCAGATCTGGAAAGAGCATGAAAACGGTGAAATAAGTATATTTAACTGGCTTCCATGTGATAGCAAACTATTCCAGCTTTCACAAACCTCTGGCATTGTCCAGGTTCTCACACAACTCAGACAGCATCTCAAAGGCCATTTCTCGCTCATCTTCCTCATCCTCTTC